TACCACTATTTTTATTCTAATTTCTCAGACATTTTTTCACTGTTTATTACATCTATCTTTTATTTTATTTATTTATTTATTTGGTATTTAATTTATTGTACACGTCTTTGTCTTTTGAAGTCATCTCGCTTTTTCTTCCAATCTATTTTCTTCTCTTCTGCTAGTCTTCTATTGGAAAGTATATATTTTTAAAAAATCCTGTCTGATTTTCAACTCTCCACACTGTCTCTTTTCTCTTTCCCCATTGGCACGGCTTGCAAAAGATAGTAAATAAATTAAGGTAAGTAAACTTTAGTTAAATCGTCACAGTGATATTCTGCCCACACTTCACTTGATAAGACAATTCAATGGCTTCTTTATTTTGTAGTATATATTTATCCTTTAAAATGAATCCAGCCCGCATATTTCAGGAATTTACAATACCTATATATATATATATATATATATATATAATGTGTTTGTGTTTAAAGTTTTTCGTACTTATGGAGGAAGAATGTTCAATATCGGACATATACCGTTTACAGATATAGACAGTGAGGTTTCGTTGAATCGCTCTACGGCTTATCAAACTTTTGCAGGTTATTTGAAACTGGAAAATATTTTTAGATTGTAGGATTTTTTTTTTTGAGATAATAATACTTTAATGATACAAGTCTTACTAATTGCGCCATAGCTTTTAGAAAAGGTGGATTCATTCCACTCCCAAAAGTATTTGCACGTAGGTGAATATAACGAACCCAACGGGAATTAGAACCCGGCTCTCCAATTAACAACTCCAAGCCATTATCTATTACCCCACGCACAGAGCACCTGGTATTCCAGATGGTTATCCATCTAGGCACTGACCAGGCTAGACGTTACTTAACTTCGGTGGCCGTACGTGAACCGGTGTTTTAATGACAGAGGGGATATAGAAATCAACAAGGTATGGTGACTGTCAGTTTCACAATTGGCGATATTCGGGGTATTCATTCAATCTGACGATCGCTTAAGTTATGAATCTGTCACAATGAAATTCTGATCCCTTTGTTCTCTCTCTCTATCTCTCTCTCTAAATAGAGTGAACAAAGGAATTGGTACTATACGCAGACTTTTAATTCGCAATTTTCTTAGAAATAACCATATAATTCACATTCCTCATATGTTTATCCGGTAATGTCAAGATACGTAGAGCAAAAAAAAGGAAATATAACAGGTAAGTACTTTTTTTTTTTGTATCTAACGAGAATTTCCTGGTTCTTCATACTTTGCTGAGTTTCTGGAAGGCATCTTTAACTCTCCCAGATGCATATTCGGACTTCGGTTTCGCATTCTCCGTACTTGCTTTTCTTTTTTTTTTGTGTCATCTTCAATTTGTAATTCGCATATCGGGCTCTTTCTTTTTTGCTAACAACCATACATTCTGTCTTCTTACAAGTATTTTTTTCCCTTTTTTCTCGCTTTCCTTTACCACCTTCTGTAGGAGTTCCTATATCTTCATTACTGATTTTCTGCTACCAGTACTGTGTCAGCTGCATATATTATGTTCTTCAGATTGAACTACTAATAATGAATCCTGGTAGAACTTCTAATTTACCTCACTGTGAAGGTGGAATAATTCTGGTGAGAAGACACATCCTTGTCAGTAAATTCAGTAAACGTACCAAAATTGAAAGGGATATAATCCTTTCTATTTTTGTATATTTATTGAATTCATATTCTATCCACATGCACCTGGTTTGATGCCAGTATATTACACGTTCAGCGGAAGAGAAGCGTATTCAAAAAAAAAAACCCAAAATTCTCTTTTCACTGCTAATTATTCATTATATCATATCCAAGTATTTTTCTTTTTAAAAAGAAGAAATAAAGCCAATTCCACAATATTTCAAGCTCAATTTAGGTTTATAGTCCGTAACCATGCAATGAGATGAGGTAACATAAACCGTAGATTTGTCTGCGGAATATCATTACATCATTGTTACATAATTATAGTGAAATCATTAAGGTTTTTTGTCAAAAGAATTTTATTTTTGGTCGTATATGAATTTAAAATATTCCTTTTTACAGGCTTTATTTTTGAAATGGAATAAGATCATACTAAATTTCCGAATTTCGCTGTTGTCCATCAAAATGACTGGAAGAAAGCAATCTTAAAAACAACAATAGAAAAGAGAGGTAACAAAGTGTAAACGAAATAAATCCAGTTCATTCAACTTAGGAAATTTAGCATTGCAGCCAAATAATTCTAAAATGTTGCCAATAAGAAAGAAGAAAATGACAAATACCTAACAATAATCGAATTTGCGAAATACATAATTGTCAACAATGTTTCCGTAAAAATTGATAATTCCTGTAATAAATCCTTAATAAATATTATTATTATTTTACCTAAGTATAAGGTAGTCCTACATTTACAATTCCTTATGGCTAACCATGAAAAGAAATATTGATCAAAACTGCCTAAAAACTTTAAGTGTGTATTGCCGCAAAATTATCAAATGTTGAATATGCCCCTCCTCCACCGAACGCGTCATATGTTATGGATTATTCTAATAGTCTTTATAAAAGTCACATGATCAGTAAGGAGTAAATCCATTGATATATAGGAGAACTGGCAATACCTAACAGTTTAGTATTCTTTTCTTTGTTTCTAGCGAGATTTTCCTGTCTCTTAATACTTGGCATCTGGAAGGCATCTTTCGCTATTCCAATGCACCTTTGGATTTCGGTGGCGTATTTTCCGCCCTCTAGTATTGACATGAAAATATTTATAGAAAAAGGCAGTAGTGGGAAAAATAATCAGCTATAACCAAGTCCAGCTATTATATTATAGACTCTTCATTGGATTTTGTTGATAATCTCGAGGTATATAACAGAGTCCCCAGACCAGATGTGGCAGCAATATGCAAAGCAAGAACGAATGGTTGACTTATAAGCATGTAAGATCGGTTATGCATACATCTAGAGATTCGCTTCGCAAATGCCGCTTTGATTTTCATTGGCTTACGGTCATATACTGGTTATGAATGATTTCTAATTGCGTGGTCGAACTCCGGCTTTATGGTCTGGTGATTCCGATTATATATCTATTTTTAGAGATGGTGAAATTTTGGTCTCCTAGCTATTATTTATTTTTATTTATTCATTTCTCTACTAATACTGTACGAAAAAATGACTGAAGTCGAGATTTCAGGCTACACTTCTTTGAATTTTGCCGAGAATGTCGTGATATATAGCAGGAACACCAAACCAGATATGGCAGCAATATTCAACTGTTTTAAAAATATTTTCTATGAAGTTGCCTTAATAATATTTCCCTTACAGATTTTTTTCTTGTGAATAACGTTTTATTTTGGAGAGGGAGGGCGAATTTACGAGCTTTTAAAAGAGAGAGAGAGATTTTCGACATTTTTTTTTCTAGAGAAATGTTTTTAAGAGTTGTTTTTATTGAGAGTGTAGTTTAGCAATATCTTTTTTTTAATCTATTTAGCGAAAAATATATAAAGAAGGAGTTTCTTGAAAAAGAAAGAATATAGTTACTTTTAAGAGAATGTTTTTTTGTTTTTTTTTCCCTTTTCAAATAGAGATATAATTTGTTCTTGATTCTCTATATAAATGAAGAGACTCACTTCTTTAAAAGATAAGGAAAAGCAGGATCAATTTTTAAAAAAAAGTTAGAAAAGCAGGCTTTCTTCTTAAACAAAGAAAACATTTTTTCTTTTAAGAGAAAGATGGAGACAGTAGAATTTTTTTTCTTTCAAAAGCAACAAAGAGTGCTTTGAAAAGATAGTTTTAAAAAAAAACTATGTTTTTCTTTGAAGAATTATTTAGTTTTTAAAATTTTCCCCATTTCACAACCAATATTACGGTCGTTACTTTCACAACACAAGATTTAAAAACTGGTAAGCTGCGTTTTTGTAGCGAATTTATATATTTAACTCTTCCAAACATACAAACAACCGGCATATAGAATTCAGTGACTTAATCTTGTCAAGTTTAGTTAAACATTTTCAATAGGGAGCAGTGGTCGTATTCAGAAATTTGGAATTTCATGTAGCTTAAGTTTTCTTTACCTGCAAAAAATCCTATGTTAAGTCAAATTAAACTGTTTAAATATTGATTTGTTTTCTAAGGCTTACAATAATGATTTAGTCTTACTACTTAACCCATATGTAGGGGAAAAGAGGTGAATTCATACTTTTTCCAAGGGTATTTGCATGTAAGTGTATATAATGAACCCAAGTGGAATTGGAACTCGGCTCTCTGATGAAAATTTTCGAGCCATTATCCATTGCACCACCCACATACCCAAGCTTACAACAGCTGATATTCCCAAGCGGTCATCCATTGAGGTACTGACCTGACCCAACTTCGATGCTTCCACGTGACTAAGCATAAATTAAGTACACATAAGCATGAATATATAATTGTAACACTGAAAGGAGTTAGACAAAAATATTTCACTAATCAATGAAACGCTTAAATAAAAGTTTTTTTGAGATGTTCCCCTCAGATTCTAATGATACATAGCTTTGGATTTGAGGATATTTTATATCTAATCTTAATGTAAAATTCAACAACATCAAGCAAGAGAACAAAAACGAGAGCAAGTGCGTACTAAATCAGACCCCTCCCCCTCGACCAGGACAAGGGTAGTTTTTGTAACCCTCGCTAACATTTGCTTTGATGTTCTTAAATTTATACACGTTACAAATTAAACTATAAGCAACTATTAAAGGATGAAAAGTTTTCCGGTTTGACGTAATTCTGGGGTTTCTTATTTATTCGACCAAATCCATGAATATGTATCACAAAAACATTATTATCTCCCGACCACCCCAAATTAAATAAAAAATGAGCATGAAGTATTTAGATTTAGGCATTAATTAACCCAAAGAGGATAATATGTCGCTAAACAAAATCAACCAACCAAAATTTACACTTTTGAAATACATTTTGCTAAGTTGTTTCAGTTTAATGAAAGTTGTAAATACGAATATTCTGATAACTGGACCAACTGTGGATATGAAAGTTCATGTTCCCGTGTACTGTGGGATCCTGATAGATAGATAGATAGATAGATAGATAGATAGATAGATAGATAGATAGATAGATAGATAGATAGATAGATAGATAATGAATGTGCGTGCACATACATATGCTAAACAGAAAGTATATACACTAAAATAGGCGTTTCTAAATACATAGCAATAGTGCTGTTTTTTGTTTTTTTTTCTTTTATTTACAGATGGCCTCTGATTCTGTAGTAATGGCAGCCGACACTGCTTAAAACATTTCAAAGGCGATAAATTTCACATCCAATTAACTGGAATATTCAAGAAAAGTATAGAAGACATGAAACAAAAAATTGCTTTTAAGAAAAAAAAAAGTTTTAAACAGCTACATATTTTCTCACGTCAATTACACAAGCATACGACCTGTCTTCCCTTTTTTAAAACATTAATCTTGATTTGGAGTTGAAAGACAAAATTAATAGCAAAAAAGAAAAAAAAATGAAGAAAAATTGTAAAAATGAAATAAAATTAAACACACGCCAGATTTACGCAGAATACACGAGAGTCGGAGTATCACACGCATGACAGGACAGACGCACTTCCTGGCAAACTTGAAACACAGACATATATGCACGACAAAATTCCCTTGGAAAAAAAAAAAAAAAAAAACCTCACACAACGTAATATTTACTTGAAAACAAAAATTGAATTACATGGAAATAAAACAATAATTTTACACGGAAATATAATGTAAAAGCTAGAAAGATAATAAACATACACATTCATATATATATAAATGTGTGTATATATATATATATATATATATATATATATATATATATATATATATATATATATATATATATAGAGAGAGAGAGAGAGAGAGAGAGAGAGACAGATACAAATACACAGGTGCAGATGTATATAATATATGCACACTTGTAAGCATATGCATACATATGTATAATATATAAACACTTGTCCGAGTATATATATATATATATATATATATATATATAAGTATTTCATTGATTCATTTTCTACGTCTTATCAAACTCAAATATGTACAGGTTATTTTAAGTCAGAAAATATTTTTAGATTGAAATATTTTGGGGTGAGGTGGGACATAATAATTTAGTGATACAAGTGTTACTAATTAATCCGTAACTGGGGGGAAAAGAGGTGGATTCATAACTTTATCAAAAGGTATTTGCGCGTAACGAACCCAATGGATATTAGAACCCGGTTCTCTGATTAACAATACACCACCCGGTATTCTCAAGCGGTCACCCATCAAGGCTCGACGTTGCTTAACTTCGCTGATCATACATACCGGAACCGGTTTTTCCACATTATGAGGCCGTATGCCATATGTAAATGCATATGCATACACAGATATCTCTATATATCACTGAAAAAGGGATTTTTCCCCAAATTTTATGCAAGGATAAAAAACGAGTTGAATTAAATCTTTTCCAGATGCTAACGGTTGAATCTATTCTCACACGTCCCACAAGAAATTTAAAAATTTCACATTCTAATTGGAACAGACATGAACAACGGCAATAAGTTATAAATATTTAAATGTATCAAAAAATTATATATATATATATATATATATATATATATATCGGGAGAAAATACATTCTTTAACTTAATGTATAAATGCAACAAAAAAAAACAATCATTTTCTTTTTTCTTTTCATCGGCTCTCTTTGTTTTTTTACTGATTTTATCATCTTTACTAACCCAGAGTGCAATATCAGGTGGGGTCTTCACAAGACTAATTTTCACTTAAATCTATCTCCATTACTGGAACACTTGTATATTTAAACTAATATCTACCGTTTCAATAAGACAATTTACTTTTTTTTTTCAGCGATATTTGTGATCCTGACAGCCATGTATTGATAATTACCTTTTCTTATTTCGAATGAAATGTTTTCAGTGTTTTGGAATAAAAAATAGTAGCAACTTACTGGGCTTGCCTTAGTTTGACACAAGTAAAGATTGAAGATAATTAACTCAACATCACTCAGTAAAGCACAAGTGTAGGGATCCAGCAAGAATCGAACTCACGGCGGAGTAAACGAATGTAACACTAATCTGACAGTTGCAGCTCCAAGGTAAAGCATATTAAAATATTACAGAGCTTACTTTATTCTGATGCAAAGCCAGTAATGTCGGAGATTCAAGTGAGGTTCGAACACATAGAGACTTGCATGGTGATAATCAGTGTGAAGCAGGATTGAAATCAGTTGGGTATGTGGACCGGTGAAGATGGATAAGGAGACGCTTCTTGGCCCAGGGGTGACGTTGTTGGATAAGTTATTGATTCGATTCTTGGGTCAGTATGACGCTGTGAGGTGGGTCGTTGATTCGATTCATGTGCCAGGTATGAAATTGTGAGGTGGGTCAATGATGCGATTCTTGGGCCAGCTATGACATTGTGGGGTTACATAGTGATTCGACTCTTGAGCCATGGGTGGTGTTGTCGGGTGGCTCAGTGATTCGATTTTTGTGTGAGTCAATAGATTCTTGGACTCAGAATGATACTGCGGTGGGTCAGAGTTTCCATTCTGAGGCCAGCGGAAATGTTGATGAAGGTCTTGATTTAGAGTCGAAAGACAAAAATTAATAAATTTATTAATAAATAAACAAACACACATTTTACTATTTTGTCGTTCAGTTACCATCTACTTATCGATAAAGATATATAAATTTTTTATATTGTAGATTCGAAATTGGAATATGCAAATTAAATATCTCCAAAAATCAAGATCTGTTACTTGGGCTGTATGTAAGAAACATACTTATACAGCCATTTTCCTTGAGTTCAATCCGAAGTCGGCCGACCAGCTGACCGGCGAATCGGTTGAACTCTCTGCCTTCGGGCGGGGAGGAACCCGAACGAGGCTACGCTGAAGGGCGGAGTTTCTTTCGGGGAAGTAAACCGACCCTGAACTCGTTTATACGGGTTCAAAGGGCATATTTTTGGCCGAGCCCACGGGCTCGGAGATCCCACGGGCTCGGAGATCCCACGGGCTCGGAGATCCCACGGGCTCGGAGATCCCACGTTAAACCGGCCTTGGGCCACATGATGCCCTCGTTGGGGGGGGGGGACTAAATACCGTTCCTTGAGGATGTTAGCGAACATGCCTCTCCACAATTTCCTGTCCTTTGTAGCTTTTAGAAAATTCTGTCTATTTGTTATCTCTCCTAAACCTTGTTCTGCCATATACAAGCTCGTGGGTGTCAAATTTTCTAAGCACCCTTTCCTCATTATGCGACTTAGAAATTTCAGTTGTCTCTTTCTGATTCTAAGTGTACGTGTTCATTTTGTTTCCGTTTTCTCTAAAATTTCGTCTTTGCTCACATGTTCAGTTCACAGTATTCTCAACATCCTTCTGTAGAACCACATTTCTATCGCCTCAAGTGTCTTCATCTGTGTGGAGATGGTCCAGCATTCACTGCCGTATAGGAGGGCTGATATTACATCACTGTTCAATACTCGATTTTTTGTTTCTTAATACTTGGCTTAGCTTTTAGAAAGCATCTTTCGCTATCCCAACGCGCCTTAGGACTTCAGTGTTGCACTTTCTATCTTCTGCTAAAACACTTCCCAGATATTTAAATTGTACTTCCTGGTTTTTCCAATATGCAATTTTCATGTTGGGCTGTTTCTTTTTAATGGCAACCATGCATTCTGTTTCCTTACAATTGACGGTTAGTCCTTTCTTCTAGCTTTCTTTCACTGCGTTCTGTTGACGTTCTTGTAGTTTCATTTCTGTGTCTGCTATCAATACGACGTTATCTCCATATCTTACGTTGCTACGACTGTGACCACAAATAATGCATCCTGGTAAACCTTCTAATTCTCTCAGAACTGCTTCATTGTATAGGTTGAATAGGTCAGAAGACACAACCATGTCTTACACCCATTTATTTTTTTTGCATATTTATTACTCCTTTTCTAACCGTATTCAAGCGGTTTCCTCCAAGTATTGGTTCCAGTTTTGTAACGTAATTCCCAAATATGTCAAGGTTACTTAGCAGTTGCAACAGTTCATTGTAATGTATTTCTTAAACGCTTTTGCATAATCTAAAAAAAAACATAGGTATACATCCCTTTGCATTTTCTGATATACTGGTAGATATATAGAATAAAAACGAATTTATTTCATGTCTCAGAATTAATTTTCAGGATTACAAGAGTCACACAGACTTGGAATTTTATATATTAGATGATTAGTTTCAGAAATGTATTCTTTTAAGATCAGAGCCACAAAAGCAAAACAATATACTGAACATTTTTTTATATAAAAAGAGAAAATAAATACTAACGACACTAGAAGGTGAAGAGTAAAACTCAAATAAGATCTCAGTTAATAATTTATTCGTTAAACGATGAACTAAATGCTTACAGGACTTCCAATTCCTCTTTCAAATTAAATAATGAATTAAGAGAAGAAAAACAAATCAATGTTCTTGAAACCATTCTATTTTTGGATCGAAGTTGGTAAGATCGGAGCAGACAAATGTATCGAAATTCCCAAATTGATTTTTATTAATGTTTGTTTTCTTAGAGTTTAATGTAAGAATATCCAATTTCTTGACTCATTCATCAATCCTTAACATATTACTCACCACTTTCTTTGACCCTGTACCATCTTTCATTTAAATTGTATCTTCCCTCGGAAAAAAAAGTGATGCTTTTTGATGTCGTCAAATTTTTGCAAACGCTGACCGGACAAAGGTTTGTGTAATGGAACGAAACAAATGGTTGTCTGATGGTGACACCTCGAGAGAATATGTCACATAAAGAAGAACTTCTAAATTTGCAACAGAAAAACGAATGATGACATTTAAGCAAAAATCACCAGCTGGTTTCCTTTTCCGGTAATATATATATATATATATATATATATATATATATATATATATATATATGTATATATATATATATATGTGTGTGTGTGTGTTTCTGTTCCAGTGTTTCACCTAAAAGAAACAATTGCTCACTAAATATTACACGAAATTTATCTTAAAATCTTAAACAGAGTATTGCATTGCCACCCGCTATTGGGAGATTATGTTTAGGAAGAGATTGTGAAGTTGGTTGCTTAGTCAACGTATCAAAGTT